CCGAAACAGAAGTGAAGTTACACTCTAACCGTCCACACAGCTCTTCCGCTTCCATCCTTACTTTACAGGAAGTATGTTGTAGGTTTTTTTTCCATTGCGCTCTCCATGATTTGATGACGTTCAACGGCTTGACTCGTGGCACTCTCTTCCCCTGAGGTGCCTTCTTTTTCCCTTTCCCGTTGGTGACCTGTAAGCGAGTAACCTCTGTCAACCGCGCTTTGCTAAGAGCGAAAAAAAAATGGAGCTTTGAATTTCCGTTGAGCCGGTGAAGGTGACAGTTGGTTACCCACACAGCATTCCAGTAAGAGAATCTGTATGTCACCACTTCCGAAACGATGTAAGGCGGGAGAGGGGGACAATCTGTTGCTCTGTGCTGTAATAGAGTGTGTGAGAGCGAGCGAGTCTGTGACAAGACAAATCCAGCCAATACAAGTCGGATGACCCCGAATATTTCCTCCCCCTCCCCCTTCATCCGGAGAAAATCTTTATCAAATTCCATCGATTCGGGGGGAGGCTAGGCAGGGAAAATAGAAGCCTGGAAGATTTTCTCGGAGACGCCGATGGAGGGTGGTGGTGACCTGGAACAATAGTTACTGCAAGAAAAAAACGACGCATAGCAAAACATGGCGATGCCTTCATAGTTGCTAATAGTTTGGACGAGAAGAGTAGATGATAGACCTGCAGAGACGACTGCACGATGATCTGGATCCGATCGTCTTGAACAATTGACGAAGTTTATTGTTCCCCCCTTCCCACGCCACTGGGAATCGAGGACACACTACTTACTAACTCTTACCAGTTACCAGGGCCTTCGATTCGCCAAGCGCTTTACATCGCGCACAGAGTGATCAACCTAGATCGCCCAATCGCAGCAACGTTGTATCCGATCGAACAATAGTTCCGAGGGCAAGGTTTTGGGATGGATGGCAGGCGAACAATACTAGTAAACCCATAGTCTTGGATGGTTAACTTTAGCTTCTCGAGTGTGACCCCATCCATTCCCACCGCTTAGTATGACAGCGGGACGGTACCGGCGTGGTGAGCTGACAAGCACTTTACTCTGTCTGGCTTAGGAAAGCAGGTAACCCCTCATAAAAGGCATTGGTACTTTCCGTTGGTCACGTATCATTTGGAATCTTCCGACCTTCCCCGGATGATCGTGACCAAAGTCATCGTAGAAAGGACAATATACGGGGCTTATTTTTTTTAATTTATGTACGCACTCCATAGCTGCAGAGCAGGGTGAGGCTAGTACCTGGCTGGGAGGGCCATGCTCAAGGCGAACAGCCAATGACGAGGCAGAAGGCCACTCTGCCACATTGATGGGCAATTCCGAAAAGGGGGAACTTGAGGATTCCATGAGATCTATCATACTTCTGTTGCATTGCCTACAATGGCGAGTCTCGTCGCGGATCCCTCACCCGGATAGAACCCTGCAGGTCAACGTGAGTCAGGAACTTGTATCCTGGGTGCTGGTTGGATGAACCTGAGAGTTCTACGTACGTAGGAACCCATTTTTTCTCCCATCCATTTCCCCTTCTGATTACTCTATACGGAGAATGAATAGTGGTTCAGCGTTGAGCCCCAATTGAGCGAATAGTAGTAATCCACTGCTTAGTGGTTGTAGTAAAAGTAGTAGTACCTATCTGAGCCAACTGCACGGGCATCCACTGCGTTGTTCTGAGCCAATCGACTTCAAGTCCTTTATCTTCGTACCTGATCGACTTCGGGATGCAGTAAAAAAAACGACAATGAACCGAGGTGACGGGACAGCGATCCCGTGTCTCCGGTGCAGAGGGATTCAGATCGAGTGGGCTAGTAAGTACGTAGTAAGCATCTGTGTGTAAGAAAACGATAAAAGCGAGAAAAGATATCCGAGGCAATATGCCGTAATGATTGGTCACCTCAAGGAGTTATGACCAAGATGACTAACAACTCGGTGGTGAGAACGAGTCCGATCTTTGGTAATCTCTGGTAAGTGCGCTTGCCTTATGCCTGGCAGCCGGTAGCACCGGCGCGAAGGTACTCCGGCCCAGATTCGAGATTGCGTACGATCCCCATGTAGATCCCAACCCTACCGGGTATGAGACAAAGCCAAAAGATTCCAAATCTTCAAAGGGCGCTAGCCGCTCTGCACCAATCACTGCCCCCACTCAAACGGTTCATGTTCTGGGTAACGGCCCACGGGGAGTGGAGGAGGGATCAAGCCCGCGTCCGGTGCGGATGAGGGTTAGCGGCGGCCAATGGGCGCCACCAGCCAAGGGTGAGGCCAAAAGTAGGAGGGTTACGAATTCCTCCTACAACTGAGGGCTAACTACGTATTGTAGTAGAATCTAGTACTTTACTCGAGGGCAAAAAGTGGGAGGAAAAAAAGAGTGTTCATGGCTGGCTGATGGACATGGTCTCGAATCAAATTACTGCAAGCAATAGTAAATATGGTGGTGTGTTGGGGGAAGGAAGAATTAAATTTACCCAGTATTTGGTAGCTGTGAACAATGCGCAACAAGAATTGTCATCTCAATAGTAATAATCAAAGATGAAGTGTAATGTATACCTAGAGTGGACAAGCCCATGACTCGATCCTTTGCCTACAATGGCCCTTTTTGCCTATCAACTTGCCTGGGGGAGGAGGAGAAGGAAGAAGGAGGGGGATTGTGCGGGCGCCTGTCCACGATCTCGGTACACCTTAACGCCATTATGCAACCACTCGGGGGTGCTCTTTGTCATTTTTCCGCATCTTGCTCAAATCGGTAATCTACTTCCCTGTCCCCTGCTCTCTGTTTCTTCTTTCCCTCCTTCCTCTGCCCTCCGTCAGAATTTCTAATTCCGAGGTTGCCCGCCCCGCCTGACTGACCCATGGAAACCCATCCGGTCAGTATGACCACTCTATCCCTATTCGCCTACCTCCCAGACCGTTTCTGCCGCTCCCGTTTTCCTGTCAGGGCCTGAACTTTGACGAGCATGGGCCAGTCCATACGTACCCATACTTACCTAGCAGTCGAAACTGGATCTGGTGGATAGATCGCCTATGGTCTGCAGTCTGCCATAAGAAGCGGAAAAGGGCCGTGAACTAACCAACTAGGCTTGGGATCTTCCCGTTTAGTCGACGCCCGACTGATCGGTACCGTAGACTTGCTCGCACTTTTTCTCCCTCTTGTGTTTTGAAAAGCATCCACAAATTTCTAATTAATTCTCCCTGTCGTGCTGCTATTATTGTACGTTTCATCGCGCCTATCTGTCGGATCAGCTGAGCAGATGCGGAAAGTTGGAATTCCTCATCCATCCATTAATTACTATTCTTTCCGGTCAAGGCAATTAGTCTCTATCGAGAGAGTTTTGTCACCAACAGGATTAAACTATCAGCGATGGATGGGTAGATCAACCGCCCAGGATGTGATGTCCGAGAAACGCCGTAGTCAAAAAAATCACATTCTGGATAGCATGCTTGCTAGATGCCCTGTGTGGCACACCGTAAGAAGATGGCACTCGTGTCAACCAGGGTAGCCTTGCCACAGATACGATTCATGGAATGGGTTCCCCTGGACGTCTCAGCCTGCTTCTTGTCTCTTACACAATGTTCTTCGATACCGCAGTTCTTTGACAAAAGAGAGGAACGGGGGCAAATTAGTTGCAGAAAAAAGGATCAAGTCGACTGTAAAGTATCCATCTCTATGCCTCACCACGCCAGTAAGAACAGTATCATCCATGATCCCTGCTGCAACACCGTACTCTGGTAAGAATTAGTCACTACTAGGTTAGCACCTATACTAGGTATTGGATAGTGGCAAATCCTCTCCCCACGATCCGGGAACGCCAGCTTCTGAGACTGCTGCAACTGATCCTGATAGCTGCCCTGTTTCCTTTGTTCCAGCCCCTCCGTTGGTCGTGTGGTTGCTTTGCAATTCTTTCCTTCTATTCTCCTCCCCCCCCCTTCTCAATTGATCGGTCTGGATTACCCAAAAGAGATACTGCAAGAAGTTGCCCGTCAACCTCACATTTCCCCACTTTGACCTCCAAGGATCGGTTATAGTCCAGACACACATTGGATTAATTTTTATTTCTTATTTTCTTTTTGTCATCATCTAGCCCGCACCCGCAGTGCCTCCCATATAGTTACAGCCTGGGGCGTCAAAAGGGCAGTAGTAGTAGAGCTATGGATGGAGGTCAATCTAAATTAATCAAATGGACTAGCCTAGCAGGTCTGTGCCCCTAGGCTAGCTCTGCCTCCTTGAGGAAGGCTACCTGAGGTGGTACCTGCCTAATACCTATTTTCCCCCTACTAAGGACTACCTGTTACTACTACTGGTGACTAGTGTAAGTTACACGCATACTGCGGTACTAAAAGTAAACTATACGGAGAATACCATACATACCGAGCGGGTACTGACTGGGGCGTCAGGAAAATAAGAAAAATAAAAAAGAGGAGGGGGGGTTAGTTTGGGGGGTGTCAGAAAATCGAAAATCAGAAAATCAAAAAATCAATTAGGGAAAAAATAAAATCATGACAACACAAAAAAAAATCAAAAAATCCAATTCCAAAAAAAATCAATAATATTTGGCATTTATTATTATTTATTCCTCCGACACAACTGTCAGCTCCGAGATCTTGGATCAGATCTTCTCCTATAGCGTGCTCTAAGTGTGGAGCAGTAGCCATTTTTCTCTGACCCGTCTCCTTGGTCATTGTATTCTGCTGCTGCTGCTTGTTGCTATAATAGATGATCGTAACCTTCATCTCCATCACTCCTTGACACGACTATTGTCTATCGCCCTTTCTCTAATTCCAATTCCCCCTTCCGGGTCTCACCTCTCTTCCTATATATCTACCACCTCGACGACGCACCTTTGAACCTTATTCTTTCTCCATCATCAAACAAACTCTCACTCCCCAACTTCCCACTCTTACTTCCTACATAACCCAACAGCTCGGTTGCGTGGTCATTGCTCCTCCCTCCTTGCTTGTCTATCTACCCTACTCTCGTCCCTTATCCATCACCCGCGTGTGTCTATTACAACACTTGTGTGTGTGTGTGTCTGGTCTAGTCCGCTCCGGGTACACTAAACCTCCCACACAGCCAACCCCACGGTAAGAAGCCTGTTCCCTTTAAAGACGTCAACCCTCCCCGCCCACGCATAGTACCTGAACTCTGTCGGCGCCCCCCTTCGACTGTCCCCAACTCTCTTTAAAAACTCTCCGACCTCCTGGCATTTCTGGAGTCTAACATTACATCCTTAGATTCTCAACTACCTAAATTCTTCCATCAATCACTCGGATTAATTCTTCCTTGTCAACTACTTGCAATGGCTCCCACTCATCGTCGTGGACCCTGGGTTCCCGAAGAGGACCAGTTGCTCCTTCAGTTGGTTCGCGAACAAGGCCCCAACAACTGGGTCCGCATCTCTCAGCACATGCACTACCGCTCGCCCAAGCAATGCCGGGAGCGCTTCCACCAGAACCTCAAGCCCTCTTTGAACCGTGAGCCCATCTCTGCTGAGGAGGGCTTGATGATCGAGCGGATGGTCAACGAAATGGGCAAGCGCTGGGCCGAGATTGCACGACGCCTTGGAAACCGCAGTGACAATGCAGTTAAGAACTGGTGGAACGGCAGCATGAACCGCAAGAGAAGAGGTCTCCCTACCTCCAGCTCGCCTCACGCCGGACGCACGATGCACGGACGGGTCGAGGCCCCATATGCGCGGGCCTCTCTGGGCTTGAGCAGCCCCATCAGCCGTTCTCGCTACCCTTCCATCTCCAACGACCGACCTCTGACTTCCTGGACCAAGTCTCCTTCATCTCGGAGGGATTCCTTCTCCGCCTCTTCCATCGACTGCCCCCGCCAGTTGACCCCGATCTACACACTTCCTGCTCTCAACCGCCCTGTCGAAACTCCTCTCACCTCGCCTGCCTTCTCTGAAGCTTCTTCCATGGAACCTCCCTCCATGATCTCGGACCACAACTCCGTCTCTTCCTCCTCTCCCAGGACCATCGCCTCGCCACAGCTTCTTCCCCTTCCGGTGGACATGAGACAGCAATACGGCGACTTCCGCAGGCAGAGCACTTCAGATGAGATCTATGCCTACCACGATCTCTCGTTGAAGCAACGGTGGATCTCCGATCACCAGCAATGGAACCAGCACTCTCCGCTATCTCCCACATGGTCTGCTCCGATCGAAGACAAGACAGAAGCCCCGCGCGACTCGCGGATGGGTCTTCAGAACTTGCTCAACTAAATGACGATAGCGACCATTGCTGGATATGATCAACGAACTTTTCTTCTGTCATCGATTTTCTATGGGAAATTTTATGTACATGACCTCCCGACCCTCGTCACTCCTTTGTTTGGCATGATTTCCTTTGTACTTATATCATCACTTCATGTATATTGGCTTTTTGGATGGTTCGGCTCGGCTATTTCCACTGCGGGTCACGTGGATACGGCCCGGTTTCCTTACGGTACCAAAAAAAGCATTCGGGATCTCCTTTTGTCATAGTTATTGTGTTCCCTTCCCTTATTTTCTTTGTCGCTCATCATTTGGTTTACTGGGTATGGGGTTAATTATTGTGTATAGAGGAGATTGAGGAGTGCTGTCCATTGTTTTGCATGTATATGGTTGGGTTTTGGAAACTTTTGGAAAGTACTGTGAGCTTGGATCTAATAATACCCCATGACTGTTGGTTGTTACATTGCGCTATCGACCAGATGATCGTTTAATGATACATTAATAATACTTCCCACTCAAATAACTCCTCTCTTCTGTTCCTTAAGTTGTAAATTCCGATTACTGTTTCTTTGACTAAAATTTCTCTCGACGCGGCCACCACCCACCCATTCTGGATGGGGGATGTTATTTCCGGATCTGGCAGGCTTACTTTCTTGGGCGCCAGCCAGGCTTGACCGTTGCGCCCATGGACGAGCCCAGGAGGATGATAGGGGGCGAGGATCCACTGGAACAACGCCGCATAACCTCCGTGACTGTGGCTGGCTGTCATCAGCTCCAGTCTTCCCATGAAAGCCGCGGAATCTGAGGTTCAGAACGCAAGGGGCGACCCAAAGTTACGAGGCGAGACTGCATGGGAGAGACACGAGCAGGTTCAAGGAGGGAAGGCAGCGTGACAGCACAATTACTGGGTTCGAAAGAGACCGAGAAAATCCAGGATTTCAGAAATCAAGAAAATGAAAAAGTCCTAGAATGGAATATGGGTCAATGGGAAAGAAAAGAAGAATGATTTACGAATTCACATCGAAGGGAGTGGAAACAACCACTACCACTACATACACACATACATACATACATACATACAAGGTTGGCTGAACAGAGACACAGCAGCAGCAACACCGGACAGCATCCACCAACCGTCGTTGGCGCATGGCAGACCATCTCCACGGGAAAGGTGGAATGGATAGGTCCATTAGGAATACAGCTGACGACTGTCTGATCCAATCCTTCCACTTGGAATTTCGGGATTGGCATGGCGAATCAATGGGGGTGGATATTGGAAGTCGTGATGGTTCATGCATAACGGCCAGTGTCAATGGAAGTGTTCTCAATGGCCGGAAGGCTTTTACCCTTTCTCCCCCCTCCACTACCAGCACCAGCACCACCTTCTCCTCCTCTTACTGAAGTACTACGTTGACTTGGCCCCAGTTGGGAGGTAAGGTTGATAGCCAGACAAAGTTTATCCCAGGGACTTGGTGGATTACGATTTGACTGGGTTGATTCGCCAGCACCCCTCCCTTTCCTTTTCTACCCTCCCTTTCTTTACTCGTTTACGCACATATCGCTAACGGTCTCGAAGCAGGGCTGTCCCGTTTTGTATTTTTGAATTTTGTCTTGATATATTTATTTATTTACTTTTATTTCATTGTGTTTATGTTGACTTTTATTTCATTGTGTTTATGTTACCTTTGCGCAAGCATTCAGCCTGGATAAGGTAAGTAAGCTTGTTGGAAATCGAACAACCGCCTGTCTCATTTGGGACCCATCCGCGGTACGAGAAAGTTATGGGGGATGGGGAATCCGACGGGCTTCATTCTCCCCAATGGCTTTCTTGTCATGTCAGCAATCGAGCGGTCCCCGAAGAAGCGGGCTTCAAAGCAGCCTATAGTAGAGAACAGGCAGAAGGAAAGCAGGAAGAAAAAAGAAAAAAGAAAAAAAGAAAATACAAAAGTGAAAATGAAAAAAAGAAAAAATAAGGGAAGCGCAAAAGGACGAACGATAAGAACGATGGAGCAGCCTTTCCTATTTTCCCCTCCATTCCCGCCACCATTTTCTCTCAAGATGTGCCACTACGACCTTCCTGGTCTGGACTTGGGTGTCCAACTCACTAGTGGCTTTTTGGGCTATCCCAATCGTGACGTGCTGTTCGGAGACATGGCTTCTCCTTCCCAACCTGACTCGCCACACTCGCGACGGATACCAAGCCACACCCAGTGAATGGGACGGTGCTGCACGTATGCCGATCAGGCAATCACCATGACTGATCAAGAATGAAGGCATCGGCGGGGTCACCGAACGCAGGAGCTGCAATCCACTCTGTGTGGTGTATTAGGTATGCACTGGCACTCATGGAGTGTCTCCAGTGCTCTACGCACTGCATACCCACGACTGGTGGTCTGTTTCAGCCAATCTAACATCTCACACGCACCACTGTTGCGCTGCCATGCGTGCATGAGCATACCAGCTCCTGCTCGCCTACCGGTAGGCGGTGCAGATTCAGCTGGGGTCAAAGTTGGGTGGAGTCAAGTTCAAGGGTGAGGAAAGGATGATGCAGCTCGTCCTGGAGGACGTTGGCTCGCCAGTGACCCTCTCTGACGGCCGTTGGCCGGTAGGGGATATCCTACGCTTCGTATCAAGTACGCATGACTATGTAGATATCTCTCAGACGTATGGGTTACACATCAGTACATACCCATACCCATACCCATACACACCTACCAGGTTGGGCATATTCTGAAACAAGGCTCCGGGGGTTACACAGGACCAATTTTGGGACTTTCTTGTGACGTTGAATCGTTTACCAAGTTCCAGAACGAATATAGCATGAAACAAGACATTCTACATCCGTGCCAATCGCACCATGAGGTAACCCAATACTCCAGTGAACTAAAGGAGTTCGACAATACGGAGTAGACGACAATGCCAAACACCAAAACCAACAATGGCCTAGTGAGGAAACGAAGAAGAAGCAGCAGCAGAAACCAGTCACCGCCGGCGCAATGGATCTGGAGCCCTGCCGGCCAAGAGATTCTCGCATTAATTAACTACCGCTGATCTTTTTTTACATCTGATTTGGAATTCTGGTTGTTAGCGCCCCGCTAATCCACTTCCGTCCACTCGCGACATGCACACCGTGACGTACCCTCAGTTCCATCCCCGATCCTGCATCCTGATTTGACAGACGGACTAACTAGGAGATTTACGCCCTTCGCATTATGGGGGGGCGTGTGGTGAACAACAACCGATCTGTGTTCATCTCGTTACCACTCATCCAAGTTTTTCCCCTATCTCCTGTTCTGGCTCGAGCATGTTCCGCTTTTCCGATGCATTGGTCAAGGATGAAGGGCTTGGCAGTGGAGCCCTGGGCGACCGTTACACAATCTCCACGATGCGCATATTATTCTGGTGGAAGCATCGAATGAGGTTCCAACATCCGAACCTGCTGCGGATGCTGCAGATAGAGCAACCAAAGTTCCAACAGCGCATCCATGGACCCCCCTCTGACCACGACCCAAGATACGGGGTACGTCAGTTTGCCAAGCAGGCAGACGAGCCCAGTCAAGCGATCGTCTATATTAACAATTAATGCCCGAGATTGATTAAGCCCCAGGCACAAACGCACAACGCTCAGTCAACTGTATGGATGCATTTAAAATTGATTATGGTTAATTTGTATTATATTGCATTTTATCACTACTACTGCCGCCGGGGATAGCATCCTGACAGCTGAAACAATCCACCTCCAACATTACAATTTAGTGAAGCAATTTACAAAGCTCTGTCAGGTTTATTTTTAAAGCTGTCTCGTCTATCCCCATCTCCATCACCAACCCCCCTGCCGACTCTATCGGTCATCTGGTCGCATGCCCAACAGAACCGATGCGGTTGTTTCGGGGACCTTAATATACGACTGTGGGGATTAGTGCGTTCAGCCACAGAGGAGAAGACAGAGAAAGTTGTTGAATCATTGGTGCACCTCTTTCATTCATCCCACACCCCCTGTCTTCTGCCCAAATGATGCGACATTAGTATCTGATATTATTAGTATTATTCTATTACTTCCCCCCATAGATTTTTTTTTGTACTAGTGGTGTGGATATGTAGCTGAAGCGTTGAGGTGCGAAATTCCCTTTTTTTTCCTCTCCCAGAACCAACCTACGGAGTAGCTTGACTAGCTATTCTCAGATTTACGGTTTGATTTTCCCTTCTTCCCGCACCCGGTTTGATCGTCAACTATGCAGATTTATGCATGGATGGGGGAGCTCTATTGTTCCAGATAGAATGTTTATAACAGCTTTCCTTCTCTTCTTCTCCGCCTCCTCATCCAGCTCCAAATATTGCCACTCCAATAGTCGCTGGGTGCTGCGCCCTCCTAACTATCACCCCCCAGGATGCCTCAGGGGGCGGCGCAGACACCATGCAGCTGAGATCGTATGTCATGATCCCCATACACCATACGCTCAACAACCCTATCCCATAATAGACGTTTGTTATTATCATTAACGCCCAACATCCATGTACTTCTGATACCTGACTAGAAGGGGGAAGATGGGGGCGAAAACAGAACCAGAGCCAGAAACAACCCCCAAACTAAATTCGAATGAAATAATAATAAAATAAAATAATCTACGATACTGCTATCTCCAAAGACCACACCCTCTCGATCTGATCGAATCAAAGCAACCCTAGCCGATTTCCTTAAACGGAAAAAGCTCAACATCACTACTAACTAACCCGCCCGCTCCGCCCGCCCAACGATTTGATTGATTTTCCCCGATCCATTCCGTCCCATCATCATCCATGGATCCATCCATCCATCCATCCATCCATTACTATCCATCCCACCCACACTTGGTTTGATCTCCAACCTCCCACCGACCCAATCCCTCTCGTCAAGATTCTAGTCGCTTCTCCGTAATCATCTACTTCCGACCACTCACAACCTCTATCTTCCCCCCTCCCCAGCCCGTGAGTAAGTAGTGATCTTCCCGCGGTCCCTGCGAGGAAGACTCACTTACTGACTAACTTACCGCCGGTCGGCGCGGTTAAAAAAACGTCCTTCTTCTCCAAGCGACCGACCCAGAACCAAGGGTT